CTTTGGCCCGGCTCCAGTCGCAGCCGGGGACACGATTTCATTGCACCGTGACTCCGACTCCACCGCCCTCCGCACCCCCGACGCCCTCCCCGGGGCCGTCCTGGCTGGGCAGAAACCGCCCGGAAAGGAGTCGAAACAAACACCGATTGGCCCCAAAACATCCCCCGGTCTGCCCCCCGAATGTGGGCCCTTCCGGCGGGCGTGCCCAGGGATTCCAGACTCCCCGCCCCATCGCACCACCCTCCGGCTGCCCCCCGAGGCCAGGCCAAGGCCAGGCACCTGGTCCTGTGGCTTTGTCATTCCCCACCCCAGCCTGCTCCTGCACCCTCCCTCCTGACTAAACCCCCCTACACCTCCAGCCTGCTCTTACACCCTCCCTCCCACACAGACCGCCACCCCTTCCCTCCCTCCCAGTCAAACCTCCCCCCACCCCCAGCCTGCTCCTGCACCCTCCCTCCTGACTAAACCCCCCTACACCTCCAGCCTGCTCTTACACCCTCCCTCCCACACAGACCGCCACCCCTTCCCTCCCTCCCAGTCAAACCTCCCCCCACCCCCAGCCTGCTCCTGCACCCTCCCTCCTGACTAAACCCCCCTACACCTCCAGCCTGCTCTTACACCCTCCCTCCCACACAGACCGCCACCCCTTCCCTCCCTCCCAGTCAAACCTCCCCCCACCCCCAGCCTGCTCCTGCACCCTCCCTCCTGACTAAACCCCCCTACACCTCCAGCCTGCTCTTACACCCTCCCTCCCACACAGACCGCCACCCCTTCCCTCCCTCCCAGTCAAACCTCCCCCCACCCCCAGCCTGCTCCTGCACCCTCCCTCCTGACTAAACCCCCCTACACCTCCAGCCTGCTCTTACACCCTCCCTCCCACACAGACCGCCACCCCTTCCCTCCCTCCCAGTCAAACCTCCCCCCACCCCCAGCCTGCTCCTGCACCCTCTCTCACAGCCAGACCCTGCCCTTCCCCACCCCTTCCCGCACCCATTTTATCGTCACGGGTGACGGGCTGCGGAGAGGCTGGTGGTGAGCCGGCTGGGGCGCCGCGCTAGCTGAAGAGATGCAGATCAGGATTCCAAGCTCAGTGCAGGGCATGGTTCTCCCAGCGTTCGCCGCAGGGCTGGCCCGGGTTCCAAAAGCTGCCTACACACAGAGCAAGTACCAACACGGTGCGGCTCTTCCCTGTCCTCGTGAGCCTGGCAGTGTGCGGTGGGTTTCGGAATGTGCCAGCTCCCGAAGGAAAGAGATTTTCCTTTTTAAAAAAACATTTGTGGCCCATGGCACGGGAGAAATGTGGCAACATGGCCTGGGGACACCAGGAAGGCGCAGGAACCAGCAGGCGAGGAAAAAGAACCCTACAGCAGTGTCCCTCGAATTTTTCAGCCTGTGCGGAATAAATTTTATCACATGCACCAAGGCATAGGTGGATGTGCACCACCAAGAGACGCACATGCTGCTGGCTGTGGGTACTCTGCTGATCAGCCTTTCCAACAGCCCGCTGAAGACAGGGGTCTCAGAAATATTCCTTCACCTCCAGAGGGGAGGATGGCAGCACAGGTTTAGAGAGGTCCTTTTCTATTCCTCCAGCGTTCGTTACAGCTCCTCTCTGTGTCCCGGCCCCGATGCCTCCTGGACTGCGTAAGCGTCGTTCTCTCTCCCCTCTCCGATTCAACTCTGGTGCCAGTGCGGAGCTGGCCTGTTCGGTGTCACTCTCCCGCAGCAATCGGCTTGTTTACCGTGCCCTTGTCCGGGCTGTAGCCTTTCAGCAACTCTTCCTGCTCCGGGCCGGGGGGGCCCAAACCCCGCTGGACGTCAGCCCTTTGCTGCTGCAGACCTGTCTGCAACGGCCCAGAGGGCTGGGCCGAGACCGATCCAGGGAGAAATCTGCCTCCCGGCGCAGAGAGGCGCACGGACACACCGGCCCCGGAGGCGGGCGGGACGCCCTGCATTTCCCTCGCGAGCTGAGCTGTGTCCGTGTGAACCGCCAGGGCCGGAGGCTGCACTGGGGAGTTGGCACCAGCGTCGCCGGGGTTCAATAAGGGCCTGACCCCAGCCCCTGTGTGCCAGGCTGGGGGCCCTGGGCCGAGGCCCAGCGGTGAAATGTTGCGGAGAAGCAGGGCTGAGCCGAGAGGGAG